GATCAAGAGAAGCCAGAAAGCGCGCCAGACATCAACGCGATTCAAAGACACGGCGACGAAGCTTCGTACTCTGCTCTCGCAGGACCCAACGGTGACTTCGCAGTACCGACAATGGAAGAGCTAGGCCTGAAACCTGCAACAACCTCGCACCGCGGCGGCGAAACGGTAGCACTACAAGCCCTCGACAAAATCATAGCAAACACAGACTACACAGCAACATTCGAGAAGCCAAAAACCGCCCCCACCGATTTCTCGCCCCAATCCACAACCCTCCTCTCCCCCCACATGCACTTCGGCTCCCTGAGCTGCCGCCTCTTCTACTGGCGCGCCCAAGACGTGGTCGACGCGTACAAAGGAAAAGCCTCACAACCCCCAACCAGCCTAACAGGCCAACTCCTCTTCCGCGACATGTACTTTGGCGCACAAGCAGGCCTAGGCTACTCCTTCGGCCAAACATACAACAACCCACACTGTCGCTTCATCCCCTGGCACCTCCCCTCTAAAATCGACACCAGCACCAATCTCATCACCGGCGAGTATCTCGTCGACAACGCAGACGCGGAATCGCATTTCCAGCGCTGGAAACACGGTCGAACGGGATTCCCGTGGATCGACGCGCTCATGCGCCAACTCGCCCAGGAAGGCTGGATCCACCACCTCGGTCGCCACGCCGTCGCCTGCTTCCTCACAAGGGGCGGGTGCTACATCGACTGGGAGCGCGGCGCCGAGGTCTTTGAAGAATGGCTCATTGACCATGAAGCTGCGTGTAACATCGGGAACTGGCAGTGGTTGTCTTGTACAGCGTTCTTCGCGCAGTTCTACCGGTGCTACTCCCCTATCGCGTTTCCCCAGAAATGGGATAAAGACGGCGCCTTCGTGCGAAAGTACGTCCCTGAACTAGCGCACTTCGACAAAAAGTATATCTACGAGCCGTGGAAAGCGCCGATTGCGGATCAGAAGAAGTGGGGGTGTTTGGTCAAGGGTGATGGGTCGGAGGAGGAGGAGGCAGGCAACGACGGTAAGATGAAAGTTTACCCCAAGCCGATGTTTGATTTTGCAAAAAGGAGGGAGATTTGTATCCAGGGAATGAAGAACGCGTATCACATCAACCTCTACGGGAACTCGCCAAAGGTGCTTGATGGGACGTGGCGCAAGCTCTTTGAGGATAACGCGGAGGGCCCGACGGAAGGGGGTAAAGGGCCGCCGGGCGCGATGGTGAAGGAGGAGGATGTTGGAGATGCGGAGGGGCATGAAGAGGATACGCATGTGGATGAGCCGCCGAGTCCAAAGCAGGCGAAGAAGATGGCGGTGAGGAGTGAGAAGAAAGCGGGACATAAGAGGGAAGCGAGTCAGGGAACGCTGGACGGAATGGTGACGAGGAAGAAGAAGAAGGATGGGGAGGTTTTTCCTAATGAGACGCACTTCGGATAGCAGAATCTTGAGGAATGAATCCGTTCGTCGCGGCTACCGCGATGGGATGAGCGAGTAGCAATGTATCTAATCTTCTCTCCTCAAATAAAGCAATGGGGTATCACAAACACCTATCATCACCTCCACTCCCTACGCACTCGCTATCCTCCCCGCCCCAACAACCGTCCAAAACGCCTCCTCCCTCTTCTCCCTCTCCCCTTTACTCCCCCTCGAATCGCCCAACCCCCTCTCTTCCGCATTGACATCAGCCTCGAACTCAATACGCACAAAAATCGGTATCTCAAGCAGATCCTCATCTTCGTCCAGCTCATCCTCGCCGCCTAGCTCGCTAAGGAAGCCAGGGATAACTTCGATAGCCACACTAGTCCAATTCCGTCCTTTATCCCATATCTTTCCCGCTTCAATTTGTCCCGTCTCGGCGTTGATGGTTGAGCGGCGGGGCATGGGTGCGGGACCCGAAGCGAGCGCGTCGTCCCAGACGTCGGTATTGGCGCCGACTTCGAATTGAGGGCATAGTATCGTTACGCGGGACTGTACTTTGCCGGGTGTGGTGCTTGAGGTAGCGAGCGTGACTTGTATAGGATCGAAGAGCGGGTTGCTGACGTGGAGGAGGAAGTGCGTTGCGATGCCCGGACGGAGGGTGTTGTAGTTGAAAGGAGGTTGTGGGGCGGGCATAGAGCCGGGGACTGGTGGCACGGCTGGGTTGGGGGGTAGTGCGCGGATGCTGAGCCGTGGGATGTGGTTTAGTGCTAGGAGCTTGATCTTGTATCGTGTTGATGTTATCTTGGACTCTGGCTTGGATAGGATGTGTCGACAGGACCGGCATCGTTTTGATCGCTTTGTGCAGAGGAGGGTGGGTATCGGCCGGAGCTCGTTGTCGAACTGCATATGAGGATCTAGTTGTGCGAGCTTCTGGGCAGGCGACAACGTACTGCCCCAACCGTCTCGTTTGATGCGCTCGATCGCTGCGTTGTCCGCGGCGGGGTCGTGGATGACCAGGCCTTCTAACTCCGACGCTGCCTCTCGCATGGGCGTTGGCTTGTTGCGCTTCTGCTTCTTTGCTGTGTTCGTTGAATATAGATTCATGATTCGGGAATAGGCCGAGGGCGAGGAGAAGTTCATCTCGAGAGGATTTGCTGGTGTCTGGGAGTCCAGCTGCGCCTTGTAAAAAGCACCCAGGTTCGAGAATAGATCGTCGCGTGTCGGTGGTTCATACTGTTCAACATCTACAGTTGTAGAATCACTGGAAGGAGATAGCGGATTCCTTGAGTCTCTCTGCCGACCCTCGAGCTCCTTGCGCCTCTCGCGCTCCTTGTCGCGCTCTTTCGCGGTCGGTATCGGCTTCCCTCCATTCGCTATCCGTGCAATCTGCGAATACACGCCTGTATGCTTCTCGAACTCTATGCCCGTCTCGATCGTACTCCAATGACAGTACGGACACGCGAGTATGTGTCGGTCTGGCACTCCTTGGTCCGCGTCAGGGTTGTCGAGAAGGTTGACTATGAGCGGCGAGATGCACACGGGGCAATTGAAACAATTGCGTGTGCACCGGTTTCCATCGCTCTTAACCACGGAGCTCGGTACTTCGAACAGGCAGTTTGGGCAGTACCAGTTCAGCGTCTCCTCTATCACGCATCGCGGACACCGTATTTGCAGGCAGTCTTCGCAGTACAGGAGGTGTTCGAGCGGGTATAGGGCGTAGTTGGAACGCGGGTTCCTTGGATCCAGGGTCTCTTCGTCGTCGTCAAAGGCAGCGAGGACGTGCGTCGTGCGTTTCGTAGAGGTCGTCGTGTTGTTGTCGAAGCAGTCGCAGGCGTAGTACGTGTACGGAAAAGCTTGCGCCATGGCGAAATAGCGAGTTCAAGAATAACGTTCGAAGCTGACTGGGTGCTTCTTCCCCACCAGTCGTCCGGATTGGCAGAGACGTGGTGCTGGTGATGGGCTTCTGGAGGGCGGAGGTAGATCTCGGTGGAGCCAAACGCCGATTGGCGCAGCAGCTCCAGGGTCTTGACGTATTGCTTTCTCATCCTCTCTCTCGCGCGCCGCCCGTTTTCACGTCGTTCATACCGCCATTGTACGGTCAATTCGTCTTCTACTGGCACCATGGCATCCTTTTCGATCCGCGCTTTCATCCCACCACTAAAGCGACGATGTTTGCCCCTCCAAACCACCCGACGGTATGCGGTACAAGCACCCGGCGCTCCAATGATGGAGATATTCAGTGGCCAACAGAAGTGGTTACAGAAGGAAAGAGCCGCAGCAGACAAAGAAAACAGCAGAGGTGTAGACTACCTCAGAGACGAGGTGGCATCAAGACTGTGTGAGCGAGTATTAGTATGATGCTCCCCACTCTAGACATGGACAGCGACTAACGACCACAGGATATAAATCGGCATTTCCCCAAAGTCCTCGATCTCGGTGCAAACGCATGCAATTTATCCCGCGCACTTACTCTACCCTCCGAAGACGCCCCAGACAAAGGCCCTCGATCCAAGCGAATCGGCACCATCACAGCCGCAGACTCGTCGGAAGCGCTCTTATACCGCGACGCCGATCTGCCCTTCAACAAGGAAATCGACATCGTACGCGAGGTCCTGTCGACATCGGAGCTATTACCATACGAAGCGAACTCTTTCGACGCCGTCTTGAGCAGCCTAAGTCTACATTGGATCAATGACTTGCCATCAGTGTTGGCGCAAGTGAACAACATTCTGAAGCCAGATGCTCCATTCATAGGCGTCATGATGGGAGGAGACAGCCTTTACGAGCTCCGTACGTCTCTGCAACTAGCAGAGTTGGACCGAAGAGGTGGTGTCTCAACGCATACCTCGCCACTGGCGGACGTCAAAGATGTGGGTGGACTGCTACAAAAAGCCGGCTTCAATCTCCTCACCGTGGACGTGGATGATATCGTAGTCGACTATCCCGATACCTTCTCGTTGATGAAGGACCTGCAAGCCATGGGCGAGTCCAACGCTGTGCTTGCACGAGAGAAGGGGCCAATCCAGAGGGACGTACTCCTGGCTGCTGAAGCTATATACAAGGAACTTCATGGCAATGAGGATGGTACACTTCCAGCCACTTTCAGGTTGATCTACATGATTGGTTGGAAACCTAGTCCTACTCAAGCTAAGCCGCTTGAGCGGGGGACGGGTATGTTCAGTATCAAGGACCATTTAGAGAAGAACGGTAAGCCTGGTGGAGACAAGGAATAGAAATCAAACGATGATTAGCTTTACCACAGCTCGTCATCTGAAACGAGTAGTCGAAAGTACGTCCGGCATCGAAACGATACGGCAGAAACTGAGCATCTTCACGAGAGATTAGCAATCTCAATTCGGACGCCACATCCTGTAGTTCTGCTACAAAACTTCGTATATATCTAATAATCTATAGATAGCTCGGTCTCCCAACGACCTCATCGACCTCCATCAAAGGATGATATATTGCATGACTATGTCGCTCCGCCTATTCAGCTTGTGATCAGACTTCCTGAACGCATCCTCTCAAGTTCACTCCTCATCCCGTCCCGCTATCTCGACGATGAGAATAGTCCGCGTCTTCCCGCACTAACGAACCTCATAATCAGGTGTCTTCGAGCCCTCTCCTTCCTCCTCGTCGATAGCGTTTGCCTGATTGACGCCAAGGTCAGCGGCAGCAGCAGCGCGAGCAGGACCGAGAGCAGGACGCAATCCATTGACCATCTTTCCACCGCCTGTAGAGGCTTTGGCGGGAGGCAAGGCTGGGAAATCGGAGAAACCAGCCTGTTCCTCACCCTGCACATCCTCCACACACTCACGCGCCATATGGCCTTCCCCGCCACACTTGTAGCAAACAAACGGCTCTTTCGCCTTCGCCTTGCTCCGCTCAGATTGCGGCTTCTCCTCCGGACAGTTGCGCGCGATATGCCCGTTCTCGCCACATTCGAAGCAGACGGGTGGGGGGCGCTTGTCTGTTGCTTTGTTGAGAAGACCGGTGATGATTGCGGGTTTGGCGGTGGATTGCGAAGCTGGGCAGAAGCGGGAAAGATGGCCGGTTCCTTTGCAGGTGTAGCAGATTGGACCGGTGCGCTGCGAGGGCTTCTTGTATGTGACTCCGTTGGTGATGGCGGACTCAGCAGCAGTCGCCGTGGTGCAGTTGCGTGCAATGTGGCCTTCGCCACCGCATTTGTGGCAGGTGAACGGTGTGTAGGTTTTGCTGACATACTTCTTATCCTGCTTGGCTGTAAGAGCGGGAATGTTCCCTGCCACGCAGTTCGCATCAGCCTTAACATTGTTGAATTGACCTGCGGCGGCCTTGCCCTTCTGCTGAGACCTATCACTGAACTTCGTGTAGGGACGACGGCCAGCGCGGATGTCCTCGACATACTTGATGGCCCAGATCACACGCCGATCCTTCGTATCGCGATAGTACTCTTCGCTGACCTTCACACGCGAGGCGATGTATTTCTGCAAAGCACCGTCCAGCGCCTTTCCAAAGGCCTCATTCGTATCCGCAAGTTCTAAATATGGCTCATAGCTGCAAGTCCACGGCTTCGCCATCTCATCGACAATACAGCGAATCGCGCAGTCGTACAGCGCCGGGATCGCATTCTGGTATTGCTTAATCTCATCCACAGTGGGAAGGGTATGATAGAACTTGCTCTTCAGTCGACCGAAAATCCGCTTCTTCAAGGAATCGTATTCGAGAAATTCGCAGTGTTTGTACATGACGATCAAGGCATCGGAGTTGAGTGCCTCGAACGTAGACGTGTCGATGGGATCACGCTCGCCAGCTTGTATGTACTTGTAGATCCAACGGATGGCATCTTTTGAGCCGTTAGGAATGGTTAAGACGGTGGCTCGTTCTTCGATGAGCTTCTTCCGGGCTACGGGGGAGAAGTGTGCTAGCAGATTCACGGATGCACTCTCGAGACCGATGTAGCGGTTATTGTCGGGGCCGATGACGATGTTTGCTTTTGGGCCCTTCCTGAAGCTGGGGTAGTTAGGATACTTTGAATATCACATTGGGGGTTTCCTAGGATGAACTTACTCAGCGAGCTGCTTTGGCGTAAGCTGGTTCGTCTTAGGCGGAGGCATGCGCCCGGGATTGGTCATCGTTGTCATGTTGACAGATCCTTCTTAATCCAAGCTTGTCCTAACTGCTGTAAGTAATATGTCTAGCAATCTGAGCGCAGTGTGGTGGAGAGATAGGTCGATGGACTAAGCCTGTGAAGCCCTTACAAGGTTATGTATAAGGTAGTGAGGGGTTGACTTACTTCAAACGCGGTTGAGTTGGCGACGAATAGGCTAGGTGGGGAGAAGAGAGTATCAGAGCATGGCTAAGGCTTATGTAGTGTGGAGTGTTTCTGTGGGCCTGTGCTGGAAGAACAGTGAACGAATCATCACGTGAGAACTATTTAAGTAGTGAAGTCGCAACCACCTTTACTTCGGTGAAGGGACCACTCGTTGTTCCTGCATGGATCTCACCCCCTAGACCGGCACAAGTTGCTTCTTAGTGGCTTCACTCTTAGAACGCACAGCTGACCAGAATACAGCATCGCTGACCGTGGGACTATATTGTTGACTGGCATATGGTCAACTCGTAAGATCGCTGATGTCACAAGCACCAGAGAGCAACACTGCTTCAATCCGAATAATGAGGAATCTTCGCTTCTCAATACTGTGTCTAATCAAACTTGCAAACATTTGCGTGCTCTTGACATGCCGCGAAAAGAACAGAATGATGAAAATCCATACCAAAGTAGACGTGAATCCGACTTGGTGAGTTGGGATGGAGCAGTCGCGCTAGTTGGCCAGTCGTGTACTTCACCACCTGAGGCAACCGCGCCTGCTCCCTGTACTGTTGAACTACCCGCGCAAGCACCAAGACCGACTTCTTCACCACCACCGCCATAATGCATTGTCGCAGTATCGACGTTGGACTCCATTCCCAATTCGATATCGAAAAACTGCCTGAATATCGCCCAGCTCCTCGCGGTAACTCCAGCTTCACCCCGGAATCTGTCGATGAAAAGACGTCGACTTGCAGCGTCTACGTCCCAGCTTTACCAGGCAGTACCTTCTGGATCGAATATGCTGTGTCGCCGCCAGTCCCCGAAGGGCACTACTTCCTGTTCAAGTTGTACATCAACGGCGCACACGTCGTGAGCTGGTCGACGGGCAAGGACGAGGAATGGCAGGGCAAAACTATGTTCGGTCTATTCGAGAGCCCCGGAGATGGCGGCGATAGGAAGAAGTTCGAGAAGCGAGTGCTCTGCTTTACAACAAAAGATGACGTGAATGTATTCGACGAGACCGCGCGTGTCGAGATAAGAGTACATCGAGCACACAGACGAAAGCGAGTCGAACGACAGGCAGAAGAGTACAGGGAAACGGAGCACGCAAAGACTGAGACTGGAATAGGGTAGGCGCCCAACGTGAGACCCACGCACTATACTGACTTTGACAGTCTTGTGAACGCTGGGCCTGCGGGACCACAGCATCCGAAGCGCTTTTACAAGTTCGCCCTCATCGATCCCATCGATCAGCCTTTTGCGACATTTCGGTACTACTGCCGCAGCTGGGATCAACTGCGCGAGTTGGGGCTGCTTGATCAAAATCGTGGTGGTGCTGGCGAAGAGAACGACCTCCCTGTGATAGAGCCGAACGAAGGTGGTGGTACCGATGAAGCCATCCAGGGCATAAGGGCCTGTAGCGCCATGAGCAGGGATTCGGAAGATGTCTTTCAGGACTGTAAAGAGAACTTTGATGGACGAGCCGCGAGTGCTACAGGCATACGAGGACAGACCAGGAGTTCGTCAAGCCCTACTCGATCCACATCCGCGGGGAGGCGAAAACCCTCTACCCACAGAGCGTCACTACGTCTGGTGAGCGATAAAGAGCAGCCACGCGCCTACATCCCACGCGGTGCACCAGGCCCGAAGGCAGACTTGCCAGTTGAGCATGTAGGCGAGAATGCACAACAGCGCCATGGCATTGTCCGTACACCAACCCCGTTCTACCGGCTCTCGATACCACCTTCTATCAGACTTGGGCCTCCAGACCCAGCTTCACGGCCTCTTCCTACAGTTCCCATCAAAAACGACTTCGAGACATCCACGTCATACCATCCGCATCCTGCGTATCCTCTAGACGACTGGACTGTGCGCACTCCCAGCCCCGTCAAATCGGTTCGGGACGGCATATCCACTCCACCGCCGTTCAAGCGCAGAGAGCAAGGCCGGTCGGCTTCTGCATTGATGAGCGTGATTGCATCTGCTTGGAAACGTCGAGGATCACAGACGCCGGATGGATCGCTGCGAACAGACGCTACGGAAGATGCGCAGAGGTTGCTGTGATGTTGGGGGCGTGATAGAGCCGCGGTGGGCAGTGTAGTAGCAAGGGCGCTGAAGCGGGCACTTTGAAATCGCGCGATCGAAGCTCTGGCTGGAGGTTGAAAGATCGATGGCTTGTTCATGAGAGCTTCTGATGTTGCTGTACGCTACCTAATCGACATATTAGATGTCATGAGGTCAGGACGCGTAAGATGAAACGTGGGACGATTGCCGATCGGCACGATGATGCAAGGCACCACGCCGTGATTCGCTCCTCCACAACCCCGCAAACTGCAGCTACCTCGAGCTTCCATCCCAGCTGACAGCTCCAACACTGTTGCGTGCTTCATGCTTCTTTGCGTATACAATAGCCAATAACTCATGATTTCGTCATTATAGCGTCGAGCATATTCTTTTGGTATCGATCTTGCGGCGATAGTCCCTGAACTACACCATGCGGCTCTTTACTGTCGCAGCTGCGGCGCTCCTAGCAAGCGTGGCAGATGCGTCGTCTCTCCAACCACCCGTCCTTCCGTTGATCGTGCGGAACCCATATTTGAGCACATGGCTGCAAAACGCAAGGGAAGAGCCATGGAGCAAATGGCCCATGTTCTGGACTGGGTCTGAGGTCGGCTTCAGTGTCATGGCGTCTGTCCCTGGCACCAACGAAGTCTACCCTTTACTCGGCCGACCTCATGATTCTCTGGAGCAAAAGGACAAGGAGTAGGGTTACTTCAATCTCTCGGAGCGCAACCATTGCTAATTCCTACCCGCACTAGTTACGCGATAGCATACCCCATATACCGGGGTGCTAAATACGACGCGTCGACCACCAACCTTACGTACTCTATACCCGCACCCGATGCACTCCGCTCATCGAAAGACGTCGAGATCACCTTGTCATTCCTCTCACCCATTACACCGACCTCGACTTTGCGCCAGACCATACCAGCAGCATACCTGTCTATACACGTAGAAGGGACGTTCGACGTCAACATATACGTGGACGTGAATGGACAATGGGTCAGCGGCAAGAGGGAGAGCCTCATAGAATGGGGCTTGTTCCAGCATGTAGCGCCTGGTCTGAACGACAAGTTGAAGACGTGGCAACTCAAGCGGCAGGTCGAGCAGCTCTTCACAGAGACAAACGATCAGCCCGAGTGGGGTCAGCTGCACTTTACTGGGCCAGTCGATGCGCGCCATGAATCGGGCACATCCGCGCTCTTGCGCCAGCGATTCGCTCGAACCGGAACGTTGCAGAACGAGGTCGATGGGAACTTCCGCGCCGTCATGGATGAAGAGCCCGTGTTTGCGTTTGCGAAAGCCTTCAAGCTGGCAAACTCGTCCACTACTTCTCCCAAATCCAGCAGCAACAGCGACAGCGTACTGTTTACGATAACCCACATCCAGGATCCAGTGACACAGTATGCATCTGCTCGCGGTCTCACGTTCATGCGGCCATTGTGGAAGTCTTGGTTCCCCCAAGATGACAAGCTCATTCAATTCCACTACGGCGATTTTGCAATGGCCAAAAGCCTCGCTGGCAACTACTCGGAGCAGCTGCGCATCGATGCCTACCAATCTGGCTCGACGAACTACGTGGACATTGTTGCCTTGTCTGCACGACAAGTCATGGGTGCCACGAGCTTCTCCGGAACCAAAGACAACCCGTTGCTCTTCCTAAAGGAGATCTCCTCCAACGGCAACAGTCAAACGGTTGATGTCATCTTCCCGGCTTTCCCGTTCTTCCTGTACACGCAGCCTAGGTGGTTGGCATATCTGTTAGAGCCACTTCTGGAACACCAGCTGTCCGGCCAGTATCCCAACAAGTACTCGATGCATGACCTTGGCGCACATTTCCCTAATTTGACAGGACACGCCGATGGGCGGGACGAGTATATGCCTGTTGAAGAGTGTGGCGATATGCTGATCATGGGTCTGGCACTGGTCAACTCGTTAAGCTACAACTCCGACGCACAAGCTCAGTCCATCTGGTCAGCAATCGGCAACGACGCAGATCGTAGTGTTGATGCAATCAACGCATTCTCTCTGAACGGCGTCGGATTGCACGACGGAGTTGACTACATCGATGAGACTTGGGGCGGAAGCACCAAAGGCATTGACCAAGCGAAGAAGTGGCTGGAAGGCAGCTATGACCTGTGGAAGCAATGGACGGGCTATCTTGTCGAAGACGCTCTTGAGCCTCACAACCAGCGTAAGTATTGATTCGCGATAATTCGAAATGCAAACTAACTAGTATCACAGTCTGCACCGATGATTTCGCTGGCTGGCTGCCACTTCAAACAAATCTTGCCTTGAAGGGCATCGTCGGCATCAAAGCCTTTAGTGAAATCGCTGACCTCATGGATCGACCCGGCGACGCAAAGCACTACCGCAACATCTCCGAGACATACATCAAGAAGTGGCAAGATTACGGCATGTCGCGCGATGGCACACATGCCAAACTCGCCTACGACTGGTACGGCAGCTGGACCACTCTATACTCGCTTTACGCCGATGCCGTACTCTGCTTCCACCCCACCATCACAAACTCGTCCTCCCTATCACCAGAACAGCCAGATTACGTATCCGGAAACGATGAAGCGCAGCGACCCTTATCACCCTCCAAACACTCCTCCAGCCGCTCACCCATCACCTCCGATTTCATCCCCGACAAAATCTACAACCTCCAGAGTGACTGGTACTCCACGGTGATGCAGAAATACGGCCTACCCCTGGACTCTCGCCATCTTTACACCAAGTCCGATTGGGAATTTGAAGCTGCTGCCGTGGCGAATAAGAAGGTGCGCTCCGAGATTCTTGATCGCGTGGCGCTTTGGTTGAATGAGACGGTTACGGATCGCCCGTTTACGGATCTTTATGTTACAGAGGGGGATGGGGGCTTTCCTGGGCCGTGGTTCTTTGCGAGACCGGTTGTTGGGGGGCACTTTGCGTTTTTGACGCTCGAGAGGGCTTGTGGTGGTGGGGGGAAGTAGATGGGGGAGGTTGGTGGGTGGGTGTAAGTGCGTGTAGAGGGCAGTCTGCGGTGAAGAGATTGGATGTTAGATGTATGCGACTATTCAACACCGTTGGTGTAATTCAATGCGCAGCGCTACACATCATGGTTTCGTTGACTGTGTGTCTTCTCAGACCTCTGCCTCATGGGCCCTCACAAGACTGACCGCAATACGCATCGCATCGAGAAAACGATTGAGACAAACCCTCCTAGCAAACTTTTGTTATTCATTCACCAAAACACTATCGACCCCGCACCGCGGGCTCAATCACAGTCTATACATTTCATATTACGCTTTCGGTGGACACTGGTAGATGGGAGTTACCAGATTTGGCTGCTTTCTTATACCCATTTCTTCTTCTCGGATCTAAAGCTTCTTAAATGCTAATGTACCCGTGGACATTTCTATTCTCCCGCGGAAAGACTTCAGGATCGAGCGCGAAGGCGAGAGGCCTAGAAGAAGCGACTATCTCAATGACTAGCCCGAATCAGGACCAGACCGTAGTCTGAGTTAAAGGCGTACTATATTCATTCTGCTCGTGCTGTTGACTGGTGCTCTGCGTTGGAAGAACCGATCTAGCCGTATCCGGTCTAACCGAGGTACAACCCCTTAGCGGTTCATCGTAGCTTTCCACCTCTCCTAAACAACGTTTCTGACACCCACGCATATTCGCATCAAGAGCTTCAGGAATCACCACGCGCCCAGGTTACATGATGCCGTATCCGGTGTCGTATCGCGGTCGGTTGGCTCAATGCACTCCGCACGGCTGAGTTGGTGCACCCGCTTTGTGCCGAATATGGCGCGCTCAAAGAAAGTGATGCCTCGCGTCGATGGCTTCGGAAGGGTTCGCCTTTGTCGAACGATTTCAGATTGACAAAGGGTGCGTGACACCGGAATGATGTCTTTTGGAAGCGAACCTCGAAGTTCTCGAGTCCTGCTGAAGATCACCACCACACCCTCTAAGCCGAAAATTTGAGCATCGATTTCTCCAACGGATATCTGGACGACACAATGGTACTTTATCATGCGAATGGAAGAGTTGTTGATCAACACGATCAATACTTAGACGATGAAGCACGGAGTCTGGCAGAGCATTATCGATACATCGAGCAGATTGACATTTGCAACCAAAAGACTGCGGACGCTTCTACTGATGACGTTCAAATTATTATCGATGAGCAAGAGTATAGAACACTCTATTATGAGAAGGGAGGAATTGAGTGGGAAGTCATCAAAAAGTTTAGGCGGAAAACCCCATATACCAACTTACGGACGGTTGATCGCGCTACTTTGATGATGTGCTCGACCTTCGCCGATGACCACTTCAGATACAATCCGGGAGAGAAGACGCTTCACCTCCCAGTATGTTATCCGAGACAACATCATGCTGCACGCGACGAATCTATCGATGATTTCCATAAATTCTTTGGGACTCTCGTGCATGGGAAAAAGCTGGCCGAACAATCTGATAGCCAAATGGCGTTTATACGACCAAAGGAGATCCAGGATTACGTCATTCCATGGCTGAGAGAAGTGCAAGCACAGAGCGAAAAAGCGGCGACACCACGTCGCGAAGTGGACGATGCAAGACCGCCCAAGAAGATGAAGCGCGCACACGATCTAGTAAAACCTGACGGTACCATTCCCATGGACATTCCAGTTGCACTTGAGGATAAAATCCATCTCTACAACGCTATGCTGCAGCTAGGCCTGCCCAAGTTCGTGCAACTGGTAAGAATCACTTCTCCAATGCCTGCCTATTTGCAAGACATAGACTGACCATACACCCAACGTTGTAGCCACTCATCGACAAAATCGTCATGCAGATGTACAAAACCAAACTCAACGCGTGCCATCTCGCCACTCTAGAGCATACAGTCGGGCGCTTTTACTCCAGGGGTGTTGCTGTCCTTGATCCAGTCCTTTGTCATTTCATCGGGACGTACCCTCGCAGGACCTTGCAAGATCGCAGAAATGTCAGACCTCCACCTGAAAGCGATACCGAATCATCAGATGATATGGATAAGTCTGGCGAAAAAGCGCCAGAAGAAGCGCAGGGTGCTGTTACTCAATCGGGAGAAGAACCACCAGCACCAGCACTAGGATCAGAACCATTCGACTGCAAGAACTCGGAGAGGAAGTACCTCACTCATTGGCCCATTCCCGCGGGCCGCGCAAAACCTTATGATGAAGATACGTATCTTCTTCCCCCTGAGCTGCCTGTTATCGGCCATAGTATAAAGCATTGGTCCGGAGTCCGCAAGAACGGCAGCACAGCTGCGGCTCATAACGGGTTTCCTCTCAATATTGGAAAATATAAGAAGTTCATTCGGAGGAACGCGACGGATGTGCTCGATGTAAATGACTATTTTGAAGAAGAGACGAATCGGTTGGCAGGTCAAGATCATTACCAAAAGAATGGTCCAGGGGAGGGTGATATATGATGTCTTCCTAGTACGAAGGCTAGTTTCAGTATGTCAAAGCTTTTGTCGAAACCTAATTCTCCCCGCTTTCATCATATGCGTCACTACCAACCTAGTTCCCACATCTTCTTCAATCTATCATCTACACGCTTCTATCAAGATACAGTGAATGTCTCTTCCATACAAAAATGATCTCAGCAGCGACAGGAACAAAAACTACGGTCGCGACGATCTGACCAAAAGTCCACTGCCCGTCCGGGAAGCTCCCACCAGCTGCTCGAATCATCACACTTTGTAGTTGTCGCAGCCGAAAGAACGCCCAGAACTGCACAACCAGTGCAATGGCGACGGCAACGTCGATTCCTAGTTTTGTATACCACCCGATGATGCCTCCGCCAAACGCGAAACAGCACTTTGTCAACCAGGTTTGTTTATGATCCATGTCCTCCAAAGCGGAAGAGAGGATCTTCGAGATGACCACGATGGACAACAGCAAATAGCTGAGAATGCCAAACGCCGTGGTGAGATTGCGTTCATGTGAGCTGATAGTGCTAACGCCTTCGAAACAGACGCCTGCAATCACGCTCCATTCTTCGAACGTTATGGCGGTGTTTGGCGAATTCCCGATCCGGCTTTCGCCTGCATTGGTCAGACGGTGTTCCTTTGACATGGTGTCGCCACTCACCAAAAGTGCCTCCCATACGAGAGAAGAAAGGGCAAAAGCCCATAGCCCAGCATATCACAAACAAGACAAAACGTTGTCCTCTACGAGCATCGGAAAGAGGCCCAAATTGTCCATCGGCGCCGCCTCCTGGCTCTTCATATCCGTCTTGTGAGACATCAGTACCACTAGACGACCGTCTTCTAGCAGCATCTGTTGCGCTGCCTTCCAAGAACATCTCCGGTCGCAACGCCATTGGAAGGAGAGGCAGAAGTGTGAGCGATGACACTAGCCAAGCAATTTCGACCGTGAAGCCACCCATTCCAACAGCGTTTACGCCAAAGTCAACCCCAGACAGTGTAACGATGCTAGCAGTTTGAATCGCGAAAGTGAAAAAGACCGCGTTGTCGAAAAAGGTTCTTGTGGCGTTCGCGACTAACAGCCTCCCCATGCTCGGATGGCCTTTTGCGCTTCGTTCAAACCACAGCGATGTCGCTACGAGACATGCGCATATGAAGCTCTCAAGGATATAGCCTATCGCCATACCAATGCCGCTGATGTCTGGATTCCCTGACCCCCAAAGAGCCCCGCATACGTTGGTTTTGCAATCCTTCACAAGGCTGAAGTCTCCGCCTGTGGCGTTGCGGAGCAGATCGATGTATGCTGTAAAGTCCGTTCGTGTGGAAAGTGCAAGACAACCAGATGGGTCCATTGTCGAAATCGGTACGTATCAAAGAGAAAGAAAGAGGAGATCGAAACGTTTGATATAATGATTAAGAGAGGTTGCCAGCCGTGATGCGGCTGAAGTCTGCCTTATCGCTCAGCTGAACCTCCCCCTCATGCGATAAGCTTGGCCCCCAAACTTGTGGAGTTTCTAGATCAACGCCTCGTTGCGGCTGAGCACCACACACCTAAAAAGAGGTACATACATAGATCAGGCTTTTTCTCTAGGTTGAGCTTTGGATGGTCATCCTTTCCCTCTTACTGTCGAAGATGAAAGCGTGGCTTTTATACTTGCTTCTTCTCAATTTCATCACAATGACAAGCGCGCAATTTGTAAGAAACCCAATCTTTCATCAGCAAGACTAGAACTTACTCTACAGCTTGATACTACCCTCGTGGCCTCTTCGTCATCTGCATTGGACTCAAGTGTGTTTGTGGGACTAAGCTCTCAATTCAATGGCCAACAATCGGTATTCATTACCATGACGCGACCATCCACAACAACAACATCATCGTCGTCATCTCCCGTGTTCCCGGGATCTACTTCAGCAAATCTATCTCTAGCTCCGACAGCAGCACCAACAGGATCTCCATCTCCGCCAAACCCGATCAGTGGCCTACCACCTAGTTCTAGCAAACCTTCAGGCTTCTCTACAGGTATTTACATTATGCAGAGGCATCTGGAAGACACTCTCTGCATACTGATATTATAACAGGCTATACCGTTGGCACAGCAGTAGGCGGCTCCGTTGGCGGTCTACTTATTCTCTCGCTCCTTATTTTCTGGTATTAGTCCAACTTTCGCATTGTGCACTTACATACTGACACATCAGGTTCCGCGCACACAACAACAAAAAGAAGAAGTTGAGGCTATCCATTAGTAGCGGATCAGCGTCATCAAACAAGCTTGAAGAAGAGAAGACCGAGAGGGTGAAGGCCAACGTTGTTGAAAAGAGAAAGCCACTGCCGATGAACCCTACGGCTTCTGGAACAGGAACAGGAACGCATGTGAGGAAGCTGGATGGCGGAAGAACCCTGAAGTCTACTAATACGCTGTGAGATGGTCACATGTGATATCACATCAGTTCGTTGGCAGATTAAGCCGCGCAAGCCACGAAATTTTCCAACATTTTTAATTTTTTTAGTTTATCTATGATGATGGAACTATATGAAAAATCAGAGACCCCAAAGCTACGTGTTACGAGCACATGTGCGACCCGCGCAGTGCCCGGTTTGAACTTCGTATTGTTGCAAATGGACCGATGCTCCCCCAACTATCTTCGCTCTTCGCTCCTTGTTTTCGGAAAGCTTTCAAAGTTGCGCCTGGAATCGCATGTGGAGGTCGTAGATGGGCCGCTCGCACGTGAACAATTGATGCACTGTGTAACCTCGGAGGTGTATGGTGACTTGACTGTGATGATGCGCTTGCGACGCATACCTGTTCTGGGGCTCTCGGTCATGTTTGACCTGCCTCAAGAACTTGATATTCATCCGCTAGACAATACAAGTGGTGGGTATGCTGTGAGACTAGGGGTGTGCAATTTTGGCGCTTGGTTTCGTCTCTCATGTTTGATTTGGCGTTTTTTCTGCTTTCATCTTTTTTTGATAGGGATTTCCTCCCTTTCAGGCAAAGAAGATCTCAGCATCGTCGCGTACGTGTCGCGAAGGAAGAGACCTGAGCGTTGGCCATGCTCGCAGCGCCTTCTTTGGTATAGTGGGGTGACATGATCCCCATGTGTTGTGATTCTGCTTAGCAAGATCGCACCGTATGCTTGGTGCTCGTGACCAGTGCCAGCGTCTTTCGGTGATGGCTCCATGCTGTGCAGACGAAGACAGGGAGCTGTTCCTCTACTTACTCCAGAAGGCCATTCGTACTGAATCCGTCCTATACCTCGCCATCAATGACGACACCCAGGTTAGCGGTGTCGCACTGACTGGTATAGTCTCCGTCTCTTTCTTTCTGCTCATTGTCGTTGCAAGAGCCTATGACCATCTCACTCCTGTAGACTATGTGATTGCAGTAAGCTTCAGGATACTTCTGTTGCCAACTCAAAGCTCTTCGTCCTCTTTGTTGTGGTTCGAGCTCTGATTTTGCGCTTCATTGTCCTCGTGGATGTCGGTATCGTCCCAATCTACCTCAACATCGTAGCGTTGAGATACTATAGACGGAGTCTTGCACGGTCGCACTGCTTTAGTGACCGGTACTGTAGGCTCATGTGAAGATACTTGGCATCCTTCAGATTCGCCAAGACCTATTGAGGACTTTTGGGGACTCAAGGACGGGTCTCTCGCCGTCTCTTGCGTCACGACAGAGCTGAGGTCTGTGACTTGTCTCGGTAACGTGGGATCGATGGTTCCTTGAGATACAACATCGTCTCCAACTATTTCGCTGCTACTCTTTGCCTCGGTTTGTTCGGATTGGGAATTAGGACTGTCATGTCGCGATACACGCCCACCCTTGATCGTGGGCGGTGGCGACTTTCCTCCTTTTTGCGATGCGTGGGGACCTGGAGACTCAGCATGCATCATAGACTGTAACGAGCTTTCTGCTGCAAGCGCAAGTTCAGACAAGTAATGCTCGCCATTGCTGCCAGGTGTCGCTGCTCTTCCCGCGGGAGATGCCGATGTTCGTGTAATCGGCGAGAGTGATGCTGTGGATGCATAAACTGTTGCCATTCCCTGCGTTGCAGCCATCAACTTACGCTGCGCCGCTTGTTGAGCTGCAGCTCGAGCTGCGAGAGGACTATAGTCAAATGTTGACCAGTCAATGATGGTAGGGTCGCGTGTGGTTGTACTTGTCTCTTCTGGGTCTTTGAGCCAGTCTATACGACATGTTTTCGAATAGTCGAACCAACCAACAACACCATCATCCTCTCGAGCACCGTAGGCCATTCGGGACTCCGCACCGGTGTTGGAGTCGATGTCGAAAACGCCGTGCTCGTATACTACTACGGTAGAGCTGTGCGTGATCGAGATGCAGCCGCCTTCTTTCAAGGTTGCACTAGGATGCCATGATTCCAAGACACGTCTGTGTTCCGGCTTGGGCGTGACTTGGCTCATCCAAGCGGGTTTGTGCCCATGGAAACGCACTGGCTGCGTGTCTAGAACTCCGATGAGCTTGAAGTACTCTGCTGCTAGAAGAAGTCCTCGCTCGGTAGCGACGTGAACCTTCCCATTGTAAAGATAGAGATCACAGTCGCCGATATCCCTAGTGGGCTCGACTTTCGAGGCATCTTTGCGGCCAAGGTCTTCGGATGTCCAAAACTTTTTCCTGGATAGGCGAAGCGCTTCTTGCCGCAGAACAAGCATCTTACGGCCAAAGACATGGACTTCGTTGTCATCAGTGAAAGATCGTTTCAGCCTGTCTGAAGGCTCATTCGTAACCTCGAATGGGTACTGATGTTTGATCGTATGAGAGCATAGGAGGGGTATGCTGTAAACGTCGTAGTCGAAAAAGGTAACTCCTTCCTCTGGGAAGCGATCCTGACCGGCATACAAGTGGTGATCGTCCAAAGATCTTTTGATCTTGGTGTTCCGCCTCTTTATGGCCTCGTGGCTCGCTTTAGCCTTTTTGCGTGGAGCTACCTCAGGCTTCTCTAACTCCTCGAGCTTCCGCTTAGTGCGCTCAGCCGGGGGCGTGATTATTTGCCTTGACGTAGGACTAAGATCTGACTTTGTACTACCTGCCTTGCATTCACTGGCCTTCGCGTCTGGTGTCTTGTGGATTTCCTTCCCCGCGCTCGGTTGCCGTGACTTTGGGGTTGAGGCGGCGGCGCCCTTGGTGACGGATGTATCGGGCGGCATCGTAGTCGCGACCTTGGTGCTAGCATCGACGTGCTTTGGCGAGCTGGCTTTGGTGTTCTGACTTGGGGTCCGTGGAGTAAGCGCCTTTGCCTCCGGCTCCGCTTCGGGTGCTGTGATCTTGCAACCGTCTTTGACACCGTGTGTCGTCTTAGGGCTCTTTAGCTCATGAGAGACTGTCTCCGATACAACAGCTCTGCTAGGAACAACAGGTTTCTGTTTGAACTTGTCATCACGGAGCTTCTTCCTGGCTTCCTCGCTCATCTTCTTGAGGTCAAGTAGGCTAGGGGCCTTCTTGCCTGCATCGATGTTTTTCTCCACTGCTGATGCGCGTAAATGTTCTCGTCCGTGAGCGACTACAGTCGGTTGCATCTCTCCAGGTCCGTTATGCGCTTTCTTCTTCGCATGCAGTCCATCATCTTCAGTTGCCTCTTGTTTGCGCTTCCGGGAAACCTGTCCAGCGACGTCGGCAGTCGCACTTGCGCGGAGTTCTTGGACCTTGATTGGCCTATCGGGGATCTCTTTGGCCGGGGGTGGGGTGCGCGAGCGCCTGTTGTCTCGGTGCTTGGATTGTTGTTCGCGCTGGATGTCTCGCCTTGGCGACATGCTCCGCCGGTCGCCATGTCCACGCCTGCCACCGTATCCACGTGCACCATTACGGCCGCGTTCTTGCTGTGTTGCTTGGTCTTGGTGTTGAAGTCCTTCTTTTGCCTTATATTGAACATGGGTAGTCATCGTAGGCTTGGGGTGAGTATTGTGGGCGCCGTCCGTCTTTTGGTGCGAACCGCCGTTGCGTTTCCTGGCCATGGTGTCGATGATTGAGGATAGCACAAGATTTGCGATTGTGATACCGTAAGGTCGTGTGTAGAGTTGAGCAAGTTAGACTAGGTGAGTGAGACAAAGGTATTGTGTGGGTCCATTGTCACGCTAGTACCACGTGCTCTAGCATTGTCTCTGTCACCCACATTCACTACGGCCATACTTTCGGAATGTCCTTCTCGAAGGATAGTGGTTATTCTATGCGCCGCCAGGAACGAGTTGTACCGTTGTGCGCGCATAGTTGCGTCATCACGGCGTTGCAGGCGCTGTTGCCAATCATGGCAGGCAGGCGCAGCCTATAGTGAAGAGCCATATTTTCCCGTCGCAGCATTGCAGAGCCTCAATCCGGCTTAACAGACTTACAAAGATTAGAAACAACCTCGGAACGAAATGCTGCCGCGAAACCATCGAGACGACCAGGCTACAGTTGCAGGCGCACAGCTCGAAGAGAGCTTCGGCAACATGGACATAGATACTACGGCTTCCTTCGACGATAGCCCGAAGCAGCCATTTGGAGATCTTTCATATGAACTACGTGCTCTTCTCCTGGAAGGTCCTCCAATTTTGCTTGTCGCGTCTCATTCGGGTGCGCCATCGGACTACGCCCACCAGTGTTCTGCTGCCAAAGGTCTCGTTTCCCTCGATCGCAGTCGTCAAATGACCGAGCAAGCCGAGAGCGGCCACCGTCCATATGCCATCGAAATTTCGGTTTGGGCGCTCGCTGCGGCTTCGCAGGCGATTCGAACCGGCTATGAGGAGTACCCAGACGTTTCGCAACTCGCTCTTCCCATGGGCCCCATCTTACCAGGTTATGCCATGTGTGTCCTCGACTGGCTTGTTCGGTGTTTCAGAAGCAAGACGACGACACCTTTCATTCCCGATGACCCAGAAGTCGATGGCGAAGATAAGTGGTATTGGCTGTATAGCTATGCGGCGATGCGCGCTCTCGGTATTGACGCTGTGGAAGATCTGCAGCCGTTCATCAAGCGTCTTATTGATCATGAAGGCCTCGTCGCGGAGATGACCAGCTACCTACGTCTTCTGAGAGCCCTGAAGGCTTCGGATCCAATCGTCACGTATCTTGCTGTAAGAACAGCCAGGCAGATGTTGGGAAATGCGCACGTGTTGTCGGAGGCGCAATGCGACGCCATAGGCGCAGCACACCCGCATTTCGCCGCGCTCGTCAACGAGCAGATGCAAAAGTCGAAGTTGTGATCTCTTGTCGAACACCAGGCAGCGGTGAGGGGACGGGTGCCAATACAATAAGCAAGTAAACCTCATTGCTGGTTCAGATGTCAACGCAATGCGGGGTCCCGGAGCTCCACATGCTAAACTTTTTCGGAAAGGTGCGCCTAAGGACAAGGGACCCATCCAACAACAGATATTCTACATCACGTCCACCACCTCAACCAAATGCGCATGTCGGTCAGCTGCGCAATCCTCTTACACCGCATCAGATGAGAGACTCCATCTTCATGACAAGTTCATGCTGTCTCTTGTCAGCCCTAGCCAGGCGCCAGTATGGCCGTTTTTTCCTTTTCAATCCCCTATTTCGCTAGAATGTCAATGCATCGGCTTGTTCCACGGTACTGCCAAATGATTCGCTCATGCTATTGAAATGCCTCAGGGTTTGTTCGCTGGACCGCATCTTTTCCAATCTTTCGTCTCTCATTTTGTCTACATCGTGACACAAGCGCATTGCCGGATAGGGAAATGCTGATGTATCGTTTACGGCAAACCCCTTTGATAACACTCCACTGACATTGATGTCTGACTGCCAACTATTCCGTTGTTTCTGTCATTTGTGTTGGGAGAGCTGACCGCTTCCTACCTTCAGCTAATGTCGCTGTCACCGCCAGGTGTGATGCGTGTCCCGCTTCGGCCATGGTGCTGTCCGGGCCAACGTTGAGGGACACGAGAGGAGGTGAGGGCTCGGAGACACTGCCGGCGCATCCATTTGACATTCGCGCTAACATGTCTTAGCTCAATGCGGGAGGATGTTCCTGCATGGATCAATATTACACATCCAATGTTGGGACTGTATGGTACAGTGCTGCAGGTACTTGCTACCAGCACACAACGCTTTGATGGCATTTGAGAAGGGTGAGGGTCGTGCCAGAGTTGAGGTATAAGAAGGGTAACGTCCTCACTCAAAGTAAAGCACAACATCAAGCATCACTTCCAATACATCACCTCACCAACAATCACATAATCATCATCATGCGTTTCTCCCAAATCGCCACTCTTCTCTCCATTGCCGCTGCGGCCAGCGCCCAATACACCTACAACATCACCCAAGCCGAGAAAGCGGGTAACATGGAGAAGTACAAGTGCTTGTATGCTAAAGCCCTTCAAACCCTCGTTATACTCTATACTAATACCATGATGCTAGGGACAACAAGAAGCTCAGCAAATGGATGCCCAAGTGCCTTCACCAGTGCCAGGAGAAGGCCAACCACGCTGACGGCTGTGCGTCCGATGACTTTACTTGCCATTGCATCAACTACAGCGTCTACTCTGCCGTGAGTATCTTATCTGTCCTAGTCCCAGCTGCAGCACTTTTCTGACACCTTAACAGGCGATCGAGCCCTGTGCCTTCCCTGCCGCTCTCGGTGGTAAGGGCACTTGCTCGTTTGAGGAGCTCGGCAAGGCACGTCCTATCGTTCAGGACATGTGCAACTTCTTCAACGCCACTCTATACGACGACTACGCGGAGTGCGACATAGAACTGAGCGAGGAGAAGACCTACATGATCCTCGCTGACGAGGAATTCGGAGAGGTCACTTACTAGATGTGGACGAGCAAGGCTTGGAGTGATAGATGGTGGTATTGGACTTAGGATTGAACTTTAATAGACTTTCATCTTCTCAAACATCTTACTTGCAGTGGGACATGTCTTATGAAGTCGCAGTGACTGGCGTCGTTACAGCTAAGTGATTTCACAACACCTGACATTCGTCTCACATGGTGCCTTCACGAACGTCGCTCTGACTACTACAAATAAGCTTTCCGCGCTGCACCAACCCAACCACTCATACCCTCACACTTCCACACTCTCACACAACCATAACCACTATCCCCAATATAAGCATCCCTCCCAACAAACTCACTACAATGCCAGAAACATACGGCGAATACGAACAAGAAGGCGGTCGTCGTGGCGGCGTCTCCGGCCAAGGTACTGGTAGCGGTAACAAGTAAAGACGTCTAGTCATTGTTGATCCTACTTCAAATAGAAAGAGATAATGCCTGGCTTTCATACGGCGAGAAGCGCATCGCGTACACGAGCGTTTTGCTGCTTCGTCATGTGTTCGCGCACATGAGCGCCCTTTTTAGATCAATATAACCCACAAATGCTATTTTAGCCTTCCACGACAATGCAAACTGAATGGTGACATCCTCCAGACGTGTAGACTGCGTGTGTGTGATGTAACGTTGGGACTGGCGCGAGCGATGGTGGGTCGACGAAGTAGGTCAGGACGTGTCGCAGAACCTGGCTATTGAACACGCTGGGAAACCGGAGGCGCGCATCTAGGAACCCGTTTCGCCGTGTGTTGCTGCGATGCCCGGGCGATGTCGCGGTCTCGAGATGAGGAGCGGCGTAGCGCGATCCTGACTGGCGTTCTTGGCACGAACGTGACGCGTGCATGTGGCACAGCTCTGGAGGCACCCTTTCGCGCGAAGTTCCAACAACACCTTCACGTTCTATCTCATGCCCTCAACCTTTTTGCCTTCCTGTTCCAGCCAGACACGTCGCGTCACCCTGCGATACGGCAGCTCCGAAGCCACCCAGCTGCCTGGCTCGACTGGCTCTTCCGCTGGGCATGTATCATGGCAATATATATCAGCTTATCACCCTGTTCTTCACATACGACCATAGGATCATGAAAATTAGGCTTCCCGTCCGCTCAGCCATATACAAGCATGATACCGGCGGATTAGTAGTTAGGTGGGTGACCACTAGCGAATCCCCGCTGTTGTATGTTTTTGCTAAAAAATCCTTCTTTTTGCCTGTCGTGATTGAAGCGCGGGTCGAACACCAATAGGCCTGCTCGTACGGGACGTGGCGTTGGTGCTTGGACTCAGCATGTGCGGCGGCGGTGATGATGGCGAGTTCCTCTTTGTTTTTGCGCGTTGGTAGCAGCCCCCAAGCAAATGCCTCACCAACCTTCATTTGGACGTTAGAGTAAACACCATGGTATTATTCATTCCCATCTACTTCAATTCAACAACCTTCTTTCCCTTCTTCTTCGCCTCAAGAACCGCATCCCTCCACTCCTTGACCCCATCCAACGCGCCCTCCGGATCCGCCTTCTTCTGCAAGAGGTATCCTTGAATCTCCGCAGGCGAGAACACGCCCTCTGGAAGCGCTTCCGCGAACTGCTTCGCCATCTCCGCAAGCTTTTCTGGCGGTAGCGTCGCGAAGTTGGGCTTTGATGGTAGAGCGCCGCTAGTGAGAGGCGAGGAGGTACCACTCGATGGTCTGACTTTCCTCTTCTTTGTCTTGGAAGACGGAGATTTGGCTTTCTCGTCATCGCTCTTCTTTTGTGTCTGCGTCGCCAGGTCCTCTTCTCGGCTGTACATGCGACGAAAGATCTCTTGTATTTGCGTGTTGGTGGCGAGTGTGAATTTGATCTGCAGGTCTACCCGGCCGGGGCGAATGAGTGCCGAGTCGAGCTTTTCGGGGTAGTTCGTTGTCATTATGAGGACGCGACCCTCACTTGAGGCAGCGCCGTCGATGATGTTGAGGAGGCCGGCGAGGGAGATCTTGCTTTTGCTGCCTTCTTCGTCGGTCGGAGAGGGAACTGGTGGTGGGGGAGGAGGAGGGGGAGGTGTGGGCTTCACGCTGGGTGCTTTTATGCTGGGCGTCTTCACACTGGGTGCGCGGATGGATGATGCTGCGTCGTCTGTGACGAGGGTGGTGGTTTCGCTGTCTGGCTTGGCGATCTTCCGTGGACGCAAGGTTTGGGTAAGTCTTCGGCGGAAGG